TTTGCAGGGTGAGGTTGAAGTTTATTCAGGGGGTTATGGAGGAGGGGGGGACAGAGAGGGAGGGAGAGAGAGAGAGAAGAGGAGAAAGAGAGAAGGGGGGAAGCAGAGAAGTGAGGAGAGAGGCAGAAGCGAAGCTGCCCCTCCGAGAGGAAGCTGGACAAGAGAGCGCACAATATTCTTATATATAATAGACCTCTGCCATCTAAAACAGGGACAAAGTGTCTGGGAGAGCTTATTTTGTGAAACAAAAGAGATGAGTGAACTGCAAACCTGAGTGCTACTAACAATGGTCTTAACTTCCTGATCTAATTTCCCCTCATTATTTGGGAACTGTTATACTATCTTTTAGACTCACAGTATCAGCACCAACTTAATACACTTAATCCCCAGAAGAATGTAACGCCTTCCCTGCTTATAGAGATAAGATGATTTATAGTATAGTTTAGTTTAGTATAGCATAGTGTAGAATATATGCTTAGGTCTACTGCAGAAACTTGAGGTAGTTGATTGCAAGAACTGCTAGGGTGTCCTGAGACAGCTTGTTTCTTGTGTTTATGACTCAAATACAGTGAGGTACTCCTGGACTGGTTCTAACTTCCCAAAATGCTGAACTTCTTTTTTCTTTGTATTTAACTCATTTAACTAGCAGAAAGACTGTGATCGACATAGAATAGACTTTTGTACATTATCCTGCTTTGTGCCCTGTTCCCATAGCAGTTTGCTTACTCTCCTGAGGAGAAGGGATACTTCTGCCTGCCTAATGAATGCCAGGGGCAAAATGCTTTCTTTCTTTACTTTAGCATAGTCAAGGATGTAATGAAACAGCAGTAAGACTTTCTGCCCTCTGAGCACACCCGGGCAAAGTGATGAGAACTCCTTAGTGTATCATCAGTGCTTCTCTGTCCCAGCTTTGAGTCCTGAGCTATTCTGGAGTAAAAACCTCCCAGAAGCCCAGTAAAGGGCTCTTGAGAAGTATGGCCAACAGTCCCCTGGGTCTGGTGAATCTCAAATTCTTCTTCGGTTCCTCAGCACTGGCCACTGGAAGGTCATGCTGAAATAGGTTTAATAGATACAAAACAAGTTTCTTATATGTACAGATGGAGCTCAGTTATACTCCAGAGAACAGCCATCTGTTGTTTCTGTTGATAAGGAAACAGTCTCTGCACCATTTTATGGTTAGGTGGTTCAAAGACAGTGAAAGGGGGGATAGGAGACATGTGTACACAGTCAGATGGCCCACAAGTTTGTACCTCAAATGCTTAACTTTTGACTAAAAAAGAATTCTCTTTTATGTATGTGATATATACACTCCTAGGGGGAAAATGTCATTTGCTTTAAATCTGTACAAAAAGGGTTTTCCACTCATTTGTGGAAATGACTGGGAGTCTCCCTGGACATCCTTGTAAGTGTCTGAGGTGCCCTTGGTGTAGTAGCGCTCCTTCTCCTCCTGCAGAGCATTGCTCTTTAGGAAATTGCCCTCTTGTACTCTGTACCAGACAGTTCTTATCAATTAAGGCAAGTACTTTAAAAGCATTTTATTGGTAATTTTGAGATTGTTTTGCCATATTTATGTTTTCTGTACATATTCTTTGGGGCCATCCAAGAATATAAATTTATAGAAGTACTCTTATTTTGGAATACAACTTTACTTTGAAGTAAAGAACTTGGCTTTGTGTGGCTAGAATAAAAGCAAATATAAAAATATACAAAAATTATGTTTTATCTTCTTAAAAGATAATTGGATACCTAAGCAAAAATACCAATACTATGTAATGTGTTGTTTCTAACCAACATACTGCAAAATGTATGACCACAGCAGTACACAGAAAGGATGGGGATGGAAATGTATTCACCAATCTTTTCTAATGTTTAATGGGATATCATATAAAGAAAAAATGTAGGAAGTGAAATATTGCATTGGAAATTTTAAAGAAGCCATTAAAAAACAAAATCAAACCCAAAAGGGATACAACTAATAAACTAATCAAGCAGATAAAATGAAATCAGAAGAAATGTTCAGGGCCTAGAGAGATAGGAGGGATTTAGAATGCTTGCTACTTTTCCAGAGGACTTAAGTTTGATGCCCAGCACCCTTGTTGGGCAGTTCATAACTACCTGTAATGCCAGCTCCAGGAGATCAGATACCCTCTTTTGGCCTCTGTGGGCACCTGTACTCTCTCTCACACACACACACACACACACACACACACACACACACACACACATACACACACACACACACACACACACGGAGGGAGGAAGGGAGGGAGGGAGGGAGAGAGAGAGAGAGAGAGAGAGAGAAAGAGAGAGAGAGAGAGAAAGAAGAATTACCACATTGAAACATTAGGATCAAATAACTATTCCCCAAATCCTTGCCCTCCACCACTCATGATCATCTCCTTTATTCTGAGAATCTTCCTGTTTCCTAAGTAAACGCATGCTACACACACACTCACATGTGCACACACACAGAGAGATATGAATGAAGAGAGGGAGGTGGAACAGAGTGGTCCTTACTACAAAGTTAGGTAGGTTCCATCGGCTTGTGGTTTGTCTTCTACTCCCAGAGCTGTATTAAAGGTGGCCTAACATACTCTTGTATTCAAAGGATTGTTGCCCATGTTAGAAGAAGCCATCTTGTTTTTAGTGGAAGACTTTACCAGGACCGAGGATTTCGCATCCTCACTGCTTCCTGTTGTACAGTCCCATAGCCAATTAACGACTTGCTCTGTCTCCTTTTTAGCACTCTAGGTGGCAAGGGTGAGGGGTTGGGGTTTGTCACTCACTTCTGGACTTGCATAATCCAAGATGTTGCATGATAAAGTGAATGAGTTGTTTTAATAGTTTCCTACGCTCTCTCAGCATATTTGTTTTTTTTTTCTTCTGAATTCAGAGACATGAAAAATGCTGTAATTGGAAACAATAAACAGAAAGCCAACCTCATTGTTTTAGGAGCTGTTCCAAGGTATGTTTACTAACTTATTTTTCTTCCATTCATGCCAAGTTTGTAATGTACTTCTTCAATTATAAGATGCCCCCTTGCTTATCATATTCTTTCTTGTTTTTTTTTTAAATACATTTTTTAAATTAAATGTTTTAAAATACAGAGTCATCTCTAAGGAAGCATATACACATAAACACAAGTGTGTGTGTGTCTGTGTTTAGGGAGCATCAGGGTTCATAGAATAAGGAAGCTAGTCATAAGTGGTGGAGGTTGAGGATTTGGGGAGTAGTTCCTTGGCAAGTTGACCTCAACTTGAATAAGATAATTAGGAAGAGAAGAAAGCTTTCCATTCACGAAGAACTTCACAAGGACTCTGAACGTTTTTGTTACAAAAATTAGTAAGAAGTCGTCTTAGAACTACTGCTCTGAATTCAGGGTCCATTTCTATTTTGCATTTAAGATTCAATAGAACTTGGCATTGGGAGTGTTCATATTCTGACCCACTAGTAAATGGCAGATACCATGGAGCATGGTGCCGTTTCTGTAGAGACCACTTGCTTACAACTTTCAGGCTTATAGTTTGGTAAACTGAGATATTTATCTTGTATAAAATAAGACAGTTTCAAGGCAAAGACAGGCGGATCTCTGTGAGTTCAAGGTCAGCCTGGTCTACAAGAGCTAGTGCCAGGACAGGCACCAAAGCTGCAGAGAAACTCTGTCTTGAAAAATAAATGGGAAGAAAAGAAAGAGAAAGTTTCTTTGATTTTTTTTCTCTTGCTGTTTTTTTTTTAAATATTTATTTATTATGTATACAATATTCTGTCTGTGTGTATGCCTGCAGGCCAGAAAAGGGCACCAGACCGCATTATAGATGGTTGTGAGCCACCATGTGGTTGCTGGGAATTGAACTCAGGACCTTTGGAAGAGGAGGCAATGCTCTTAACCTCTGAGCCATCTCTCTAGCCCCCTCTCTTGCTGTTTTTTTTTTAATTGAATTAGCAGATGGTATAAATAAATACTTTTCAAAAATATCTAAATAAGTTCAGACAATTATATTTTTATTTTTAATTACTTTTTTGAGATTATAATATAATTACACCATTTCTCCCTTCTTTTTATCTCTCCAAACCTTCCCTCTTGCTCTCTTTTTCTTTTTTATTAATTGTGGATGTGTGAGAGTAGTCCTAAATATATAAAATATATAAATACAGCTTATTCAGTATGTATAATGTTACTTGTGTGTGTATATATATATAAATAAACATATATATGTTACATATGTGTTTATATATAACACACACATTATATGTGTATAAACATAAACACACATGCGTGAACACACACATATATTTTCAGGGATGACCATTTGATACTGGATAACCAATTGGCATGTTCTTTTGAGAAAACTTGGTCTTGTTCTCAGCATTTCTTACTTGCCTGTATTTCTTTATCTAGGGTTAAAGCCTTGTGAGATTTCCCTGTCCTTGCTAACTTGTCTATTGGTGTTATCCATGTTTAGTGCATCATGTGGTGAGACCTTATGGTGTAGATCTGACATTCCTAGGAAACACAGTCTCACAACAGCCTGTCTGTTCCTCTGGCTCTTACAGTTACAGTCTCTCTGCCTACTCTTGTGCAGTGTTCCCTGAGCCCTGGGTGCAGGGCTTGCTGTAAAAGTATCAGTTGGGAGTGTGCTTTACAACTCTGCCTTTTGATTGCTTGTGTCCACCATATTTTTTATTATGTGGGATATATTTCCCACACTGCTCTTATCACACTGCGTTGTTACATTAGTTACCTTTGTTTTTCAGTTTGTTTACCAAGTCCCGCTTATTTTTTAGATTGTTGTATTTGCTTCAACAAGAAACCTCAAGCACAGAGCTGAAAACTGAGTGTGCAGTGGTGTTAGGGAGTCTTGCGATGGGCACAGAGAACAATGTCAAGTCTCTCCTAGACTGCCACATTATCCCTGCCTTACTACAAGGTATGTAGAGAACCAGTTTCTCCAATATTATATTTACAGTACTTTAAATGCTGGGTGAAAGATGTGTCTCATGCTGGGCAGTGGTGGTACACGTTTTTTATTCCAGCACTCAAGAGACAGAGTTCAAGGCCAGCCTGGACTACAGAGCAAGTTCCAGCATTGCCAGGGCTGCACAGAAAAACCCTATTTCAAAAAAACAAAACAAAAATGTGTCTCACGTGTAGTTTCTTTTAATAGGACTACTATCCCCAGACCTGAAGTTCATTGAAGCTTGCCTCCGATGCCTACGGACAATCTTCACCAGCCCTGTCACTCCAGAGGAGCTATTGTATACAGTGAGTTTGGGGTATTTTTGAGTCCTAGTTTGTTGAAATAGGAGCGGCAGGGCTGCGTCCCCAGCACCCCAGCCGCCTGCTAGCTCATGCCTGAAATAACAACACACAAACTGTATTCATTTAAACACCGCTTGGCCCATGAACTCTAGCCCTTACAGGCTAATTCTCGCACCTGGACTAGCCCATTTCTAATGATGTGTGTAAGCACCCCAAGGTGCGCTTACCGGGAAGATTCTAGCCTCTGTCCATCCTGGGTCGGAGCTGCATCGCGTGTGTCTTAGAGAGGAGCTGTTGGGTCTCTCCGGGAGCAGAGCAGAGTCTGACCTCACTTCCTCTTCCGCCCAGCATCCTATTCTGTTTACTCCTCCCACCTATGTTCTAACCTATCAGGGCCAGCCAAGCAGTTTCTTTATTGCTCAATGACCTTCCTCCATCAATAGTTTGATTTCTTTGTCAATTTATTTTGAATTTGCCTAATGTCTCCTAATTCACTATGACTGTTAGATGTGGAATTATCAGCAAGAATTTGACTTTCTGCTTATTTGGAATGTTAAATGTTCTTGACCTTGTAAATAAGCAAATGACAGTTTGCACACTTTGAGAACTCTTGTTTTTAAGATGTTTTTATTGAGCTATATATTTTTATTCACTCCTTTTCCTTCCTCCCCCCTCCTCTCCACTCTCTCCCATGATCTCCATGCTCCCAATTTACTCAGGAGATCTTGTCCTTTTCTACTTCCCTTATAGATTGGATCCATGTATGACTCTAGAGTTCTCTTTGTTGTCTAGATTCTCTGGGGTTGTGAATTGTAGGCTGGGTTTTTTTTTCTTTATGTCTAAAAGCCACTTATGAGTGCGTACGTATTATATTTGTCTTTCTGGGTCTAAGTTACTTCACTCAATATGATGTTTTCTAGATCCATTTGCCAACAAATTTTAAGATGTCATTTATTTTTTATTACATTGTGTAAATGTACCACATTTTCTTTATCCATTCTTAGGTCAAGGTGCATTAAAGTTGTTTCCAGTTTCTAGCTATTACAAATAATGCTGCTATGAACATAGTTGAGCACATTTTCTTGTGGTATGATTGAGCATCTTTTGGGTATACATCCAAAAGGAATATGCTGGGTCTTGAGGAAGGCTATTTCCTAATTTTCTGAGAAATCACCATACTGATTTCCAAAGCGGCTGTACCAGTTTGCACTCCCACCTGCAATGAAGGAGTGTTCCTTTTACCCCACATCCTCTCCAGCATAAGTTGTCATCAGTATTTTTGATCTTCGCCATTCTGACAGTTGTAAGATGGAATCTCAGAGATGTTTTGATTTGCATTTCTCTGATAGTGAAGGATGTTGAACATTTTCTTAAGTGTCTTTCATCCATTTTAGATTCATTTGTTGAGAGTTCTCTGTTTAGTTCTGTACCCCATTTATTTTATTGGATTATTTGTTCTTTTGATTACCAATTTCTTGAGTTCTTTATATATTTTGGAGATCAGACCTCTGATGTGTGTTTGGTAAAGATCTTTTCCCATTCTGTAGGTTGCCATTTTTGTCTTGTTGACTGTGTCCTTTGCTTTACAGAAGCTTCTCAATTTCAGGAGGTCCTATTTGTTAATTGCATGATGTTTTTAAAGGCTCATGTCTGTGTTGATTAAATGTAAATTAAGGGAGAATGTTTTTCTAAATTATGAAACATTTTGATTTTATGCCTTGGAGATTTTCTATCATAGAGACAATAGAGAATTCAAAAGTGTTAAATGTCAGGCAGCAGTGGAGTGTGGTGTGGGCAGCAGCAGAGCTGTTCAGTGTGCTTAGCTGCTGGATCATGTAGAGGTCAGCTGTCAGAACTGCTCAGGCATTAAATAGACGCCAGTCCAGTGAGGAAGGGTGAGGTTTCTACTTTGGAATCCTATTTATTGAACAGGTAACAGAGGCAGTTATGTAACTTTCTTTATCATCTGTGAACTACAGGTACAGAAATTCAATTGGCAGAGAGGAACACATATGAGGAAATGGATTGGGGGTTGTTGGACGACATTGGGGAATCAGCAGTAGAAGAAGGGAAAGAGGGAGAAGCAGGTTAGAAGTGAGCAGAGTTTTGGAATCTGCCTTTTGCTCAGCCTCTCTTCCATCTGCTCATTCTCAGCCTCTGGGCTCTTCTGGCTATTTTGAGGTTTTAAATTTTTTTATTTTGTTCTTATCTACTCACAGCAACACAATGGCTCATACTAAGAGGGCTGGTCAAGGGCTAAAATTCTACTTTTAGGGAAATTACAGCCTGTTTCCCTACTTAGCCCATCTATATCTTGGGTGCTCTTTCTTCCTCACCTTCTGGTTTTGTCTATAGAGCAGCATAATTTCTTTGAGAAATTAGTTAGGTTGCAGCCTCTTATGTCCCTCCTCCAGGCTTACAGAATCAGAATCCATTATGGAGAACATCCTTTGGAAATTTGTGTGCACATTTGTCCATGAATATGGTTCAGGAATGTGGTCCACTTTTCCTAGAAAGCTTGAGCCAACTTTGCTTTTTTTTTTTTTTTTTTTTTTTTGGTTTTTCGAGACAGGTTTCTCTTTGCTTTTTTTTAATCTGGTTCAGTGTAAAAATACCCTTTCATTTTGTGATTCCCTTTGCATTACAAATAAAAGGAGTCTTGGAAAGCTTTAAAGCAGGATTCTCTTTTCCTTTGCCACCATGTGTCAACAATAAATAAGCTAGCAGGCTTTTAAACTATTTTTATATGTGTCTCTTTTTGCCTGTGGAGTTCATGTGTGTGTGCTTGCATGTATATGGGCATGAGTGTGTGTGTGTGTGTGTGTGTTTGTATTGGTGTCTTTGTACATATGAGGCCATAAATTGAACCCAGAGCCCATACATTGAGCTAGCTGGCCTGTTTTGGAGATTACACTGTCTGTCCTTAAACTGGGATTACTGGTGGATGCCATGCCTACGTGGGTACTGGGAATCTGAACTCTAATCCTCCTGCTTGCATGGCAACTTGCGCTGCAGGCACTTTACCCATGGAGCGGAGCCATCTCTCCTGCCCAGTAGTGGGCTTTATGTGAGATGTAGAATAATCATTTGAAGTGACCTGTCTTGGGTACATTGAAAATAGCTAACTCGTAATAACTGTTAGAGGTCCTTACCATAACATCACAAGACCCCAAATGACAGATTTATTTTGTCCAACACTTCTTCTGTATAAGCCATTTAACATTATCTGTGTTAATAAATCACCTCTTCACATTTTGGTTTCAAAACTGGTTTCTTCCTACTCTTTGCTGTGATGCTGTTTTATAGCAAGAACATTGGTTACTTACAGGAGAGAAATTAAGTTCCTTCTCTTGTATTTTATTTTCAAGGATGAATATGAAAATATCCTTAACCCCTGCTTGAATAGTTCTGATGGCCATGACACTTTTGTTTTACTGGTCCTTAAGGAGACTTTATTTAATACCATTAAGATAAGAAGCTTTGATATGTACTTTCTTGTAGAAAGACTTTGTCACATATGCTTAACACCTAAGTTCTTTTTTGCTGTCTGCCCCTTCCCTTCCATCCAGGATGCCACGGTGATTCCACATCTCATGGCGCTGCTGAGCAGGTCCCGCTACACCCAGGAGTATATCTGCCAGATCTTCTCACACTGTTGCAAAGTAAGAGCTAGAGTAAATGTTCTCACTGTAAACTTGTGTGTCTTCCTGTACATGTTCTGGTGATCCATAGGACAGCATTACCTATCTTCCTACCTACCATGTGTAACACAGATGCCAGGTGAGGAACTGCAGGCCTCAGGAAGGAGGGAGTAAATAGGAGCACCTCCCAGCAGGAGGGTCGCTCTCTGTGCTGTTTAGTATTATATTACCAAATAAAATTAGTTCACCTGCTTAAGGAATGGCATCTACATTCTAATCTAATTATTTTAAACTCCACCCAATCCCTAACTGATTATCAGAGCCTAAAATATAAGATTTTGGAGGGAAGTATCAAAAAATCCTATAGATTTCTCATCTTGTTTGTTTTGACAGTATGTAGGCCAACCCATAGTTGAAACTTTGTTAAAATTTATTTGCTAACAGTGGGTTCAAACACACAAGATGTAAGTATTAATAACAATAGAATAATGTTTTAGACCCATCCCTGTAAGCAGTTTTTGCGGTTTGCACCAGAAGTTTCTCAGCACCTGAAATTCCTCAGTGCTATCTCAGCTGCTATCCCAGAGGAAGGCGCCATTATATCACTGCTCCTTTACAGGGGAGATTCATTCCAGCCACCCTCCAACCACAGCTAAAAACAATTCTATCAGAGAAAGAAACACCTTTGCTAATCTTTTTTTTTTTTTTGCCTGATAGTTTAATATTCTTATTAAATGATCACATTTAAGTATTCTGAGATCTAACTAAACTTCAAGGAACAGTATGAGCTCATGACAACAGTAATGACTCAAATTGTAAGATCAGCTTCACAAATACACAGTATCCTTATGTATCTTTGAAAACAATTGTCCATATGATCTTTATATTGCCCTTAATTACAGAAATGTTTTGCTTCCATGTTCCTTTTTTGCATATAGGTCCAAATAAATAAAATCTATAATAGAATTTTAAGACTCATTCATGGGGCCCACTTAGCTAAAATTAAGTGGAATAGGATTTAACCAATAGATTAGTATCAGCATTAAGTCAGTTCATATGCTTTGAGGAACATGACAGAAAAAGATTACTATAAAGCACTGTGTTATAAACTAGTCATAATTACATGCTGGAATGTTGCTGAGTTATGAAGGTACAAAAAAGAAAAAGTGATGATAGTTGTTAGATTCTAATTTCTAAATTGTTGCTGCTTCGTAAGCAGTATCTCAGATTTCTGAGATTTCTTTGGTGTTTAAGTCTGAAAGGGCTTATGTAATCACCGCCTGGTGGATGCCGCCTCTCTGCCTACCCACTAGATTCTTGCAGTGATGAAAGAGACACTTGACAAAAATCCAAGGTGAGCTCTCTTCTCCAGTTGGCTTTCCTTCTAGTTCTTTCCACAACCCTGTGCAGAGGCTTAGAAAGAAGGAAGACTTTGTTTGGTAACAACTATTTGTTGCTATCTCTTGAGATTAAAAAAAAAAGTAAGGCGCCTCAGCAAATAGGAAGCAATTCTGTACGGAGGATTGCAATGTGCTGGATCTGTTCCCTGGCATTTGTCAATGCAGCTTTTGTTAGTACGACTGTTGAGAGATGGTTTGGACCTTAGAGAGAAATCAAGAGACCGAAAATCTAATAATCATAGAACATTTGTCTAATAGAAGTGGCATAGGACAAAAGAGAAAATACATATGTTCTAATATGTCTAAGATGCATTGTGAAGAGAATTGAAAGGGCTAGAGCAGTGTATTTAGCATTCTACCATTTGAGTTCAAATGGGATAAAGCATACACATGCATTGGTTTATATACAGTTTGTTTTTTTTCTGTTCTGGGTTTTGTTGTTTGTTTGTTTGTTTTGAGATAGGGTCTCACTGTATAGCCTTGACTGAGAACACTATGAAGACCAGGCTGGCCTCATACTCAAAGCTTTTGCCTCTGCCTCCGTGTGCTGGGATTGAGGGTGCACAGTCCCACACCTGAAGACTGTTCTGTCTTAAGACAGTCTTGTTTTATAGCCTAGGCTGGTTTTTAGTAGTGATCCTTCTGTTTAACCTCCAGAATAGTGGAATATAGTTATAGGCCACACACCCAGCTTCTTTCATATTTAAGAAATACCTTAAAGAATAGAAGATAATACATTATAATTAGGTCTCCTCACATCACATAAAGCCTTGCTGTAGAGGAGGAGCAGAGAGGTACAGCCTTTGAGGCAGTCCTCCTCCTATGTAGCCACTCAGATAATCTCCACCAGTGTTTAGACAGCATTTTCTTAGTGTTTAGTGTTAGAGTTCTTTGTATAATCTAGACACTAACCCTCTGTCAGTTGACTAAGCTGTCAAAGATTTTTCTCCCAATCTATGGCTGCCTTTTCGCATAGTTCAGTTTCCTTTGCTGTACAGAAGCTTTTCAGTTTCATGAGATTTAACATGAGAGAGATTTTATAGGAGACCTGTTTTTTACTTGGCTCCCCCATAATAATCTCCACCATCATGTTTATAATAAATAAGTTATTTCAAACCAGACAGTTGAATGAAAACATTTAGAGCAGTGCCTGTCACACAGTGAGTCCTCAGTGAGTAGTGCCCATAATTTTATCTACAGGTGTGTAAGTGAGCGGGGAGAAAGGAAAATGTACTTAAAACCTATGCCTTGAGGATGTTGTCAAGCAGTTATAAAGGATGTTTTGCGCCTTTACTGGTGGATAGCTGATAATAAGTACACTGTGCTCTTGTACTCTGGGAATTTATCTTTGTCACCTAAGTTTCTACATAAGCATACATCCACTATTGTAGCTCATCCTCCTAAATTGTGATTCTCAACCTGTGGATTGTGACTCCGGCCCCTTTTGGGAGTGATTGCATATCACATATTTACATTATAATTTGTAACCATAGCACTATTATAAAGTATCAATAAATAAATTGGTTGGGAGGTCACCACAACATGAGAAACTGTATTCAAGGGTTACAGCTTTAGGAAGGTTGAACTACTGAGCTAGATTCTTTTTCCCTTCTTTATTCTTCGGAAGTAAAGAGGGAGATGTAGACATGTCATGGTGGAGTTGTGGCAGCACTTTATGTACTAAGGTCTGTCTGCCTTGCTTTGGGGTTTGAGTTTGTTCAAGCATGGGGCAACTATGAAATCTATGCTGTAAAAAGCATAGTTTACTTAGATAAGTGTGGTTTAATCAGAAGCATGATTTTTGTTTATGTGTTACTTTATTCTCTTTTCTTGCAGGGACCAGATCATCAAACAATTTTGTTTAACCATGGGGCAGTTCAGAACATTGCTCACCTACTAACCTCACCCTCTTACAAAGTAAGATGAAAAAAGTTATGTCAGATTTTATCTTCATCTTCATTAAAAGAAAGACACCTACATATTTTATTGCTTCTAACTGTGATCAGTAGATTTCCATCCACCCATACAGGATGTTATCTTCCATCAGTCGTACCAGGTGCTATGCTCCATTGGTAGAGTGGTACAGGGCACATGTTACTATAGTATGTTCTTCTATTGGAAAAACATTGTCCTTCTTTATTTTTTTTTTAGAACATTTTATGCCATGAGTTGTGGATTTTCATTTGTGAAATAGTATTTCAGGTCTCTCTGATCAGTTTACAGTGCTAAACCAGCTGCTCAAGGTGATGCCTTCAAGTGTGCAGGAGCAGTAGCTAACTTGCTGGGGAGACTTTGGGTTTTATATTTGGAATCTTTCTCTAGCTACACAAACTCAAACCTGCAGTATATGCCTACATTTATATCAACATTTAGAATGTGTAGCACGATTAATAAAAACTAGAGACAGGTATTGGGCTTAAGCCTGAAGATCAGAAAAGCAAAGCAGCCAAGCCACTAGAAAGCTCTTACCTCTTTGAAATCTTCAGACTGAAAGAGGAGTGAGTTTCTCTCTTATTCCCCTTCATATTCCCCTAATATTCCTCTCTAGTGCTGGGATTAAAGGCATGCACTACCACCGTCCAGCCTCTATAGCTAACTAGTATGGCCACTGGGATTAAAGGTGTATGCCACCACAACCTGGCCTGTATGGCTGACTAGTGTGGCTGCTTTGTGTTCTGTTCTTTAGGCAAGCTTTATTTGTTAAAATACAAATGAAAATATCACTATAAGAATGTATTCTGTTTTGTGTTTTGAGTTAAGATGTCAAAAGTTTTCAGGCTTAATAATTTTCTTTACTGTCTTTTATATAGAGATGGCAGCATTATAATCCATTATTAAACATTAAGTCAAAACTTTAGCCGTTCACGGTTGCTTATGTATCAGGCTGTAGAAATCATGGGACACTGTCCTGTGTCTTATTAAAACTAAATAAGCCAGAACAGAGAAGCACTAATTTTTGCATCTGCCCTTTTGTCCTTCATTTCCTTTCTGGTAAGGCTCTACCTCAGGCATCCACCATATGGTTATTGGTCATGGTGAAAGTTACTGTATAGGAATGATAAGACACCAGCTCAGAACTAGCCAAAACAGGGCATGGAGCTATGTACTGAAGCCATTTCCTCTGCCTTGTGTCATATAGAGACTCTCAGAACTTGGACATCAAGAAACACTTAATACCTCCCTCCAACTGTCTTTGGGACTCACCACCCTGGCTCCCTCCCAACCTCATGCCCTCTGTGATGATGATGATATAATAATATAATACTATAATATCATCATCATCATTACTTCTCTGATTCCAGTCAGTTCCGACCACGTGCAGATGGGTGTAGGGCCATGCACTGGGGCATAGGCAACCAACTAATTGCCCACATTCATACAGAAAAGTGAGTTTTCCTTCAATCAGTTTCCAAGAAAATGTAGCAGGAAGTAGATATGATCAAATACATCATATGCATGTATGAAAATTTCAAAGAATAAATAAAAATACTATTTATAAATAAAATAGTATTTTTATTTATTATGTGTACAGTGTTCTGTCTACACACCAGAAGAGGGCACCAGATCTCATTATAGATGATAGTCAGTGAGCTCCCATGTATTTGTTGTTGGGAGCTGAACTCAGGATGAGCAGCCAGTGCTCTTATTTATTTGTGTGTGTGTGTGTGTTTTAAAGAAAACAAACTATCCTTTTTCACTATACATACTAATCCAAGTTCCTGCTCCCTTCCCTCCCCACACTCCCTCCACATACCCATCCAATCCTCAGAGAGGGCAAGGCACACTGCCCTGTAGAAGGTCCAAGGCCTTCCTCACTATATCCAGGCTGAGCAAGGCATCCATCCAAAGAGAATAGGTTCCCAAAAAGCTATTACATGCAGTAGGAATAAATCCTGGTGCCACTGCCAGTGGCCCCTCAGTCTTCTCCAGCCATGCAACTGTCAACCACACTCAAAGGGACCAATTTGGTCCCATGCTTGGTCCTTCCCAGTTCGGCTGCAACCAGTACTCTTAACCAGTGAGCCATCTTTCCAGCCTAGCAGTACACACCTTTAGTCCCAACACCTGGAAGGCAGAAACAGGTAAATCTCTGAATTAAGGGTGTCCTGATCTACAGAGCAAGTTCCAGGATAGCCAGGGCTACAAAGAGAGAAATCTTGTCTCAAACAAATAAACAGAAGAACCCAAAAAACAAACAAAGCAGTTGTAGAGGTGCTGGTGGTTGTCTTGTTAATGGCCAGCCACATGCCCCTTGTGGTATTCCACATGGACTTTTCTAAAGAACAGAAGAAAGACCAACGGTTTTTTTAGGCAGTCACTCATTTCTGCCATCCTCCAGCTCCATTAGTTCCCCAGTTTTCAGTTTCCTATCTTTTCTAAACTAGGTTTATTGACCATAGCAAATTTTAAAACTTAGGAGCTTGTGAGGAAGCAAGTGTCTGAATAATATGCTGTCGTTAGCATCCTGTAGGCTCCACTTGAGGGCACATGCCAACGCTGCAGAGCATTCCCAAGGGAGGGCAGGGTCACTCCATTCCTGCCCTGCTAGAGCCTGCCAATCTCCTAAGGGTCAGGCTCAGGGTGAGGATGTGTTTGGTCATCTGGTGAATACTCTGCTGAGAAGCCGCCGGTGTCAACATAGGCTCTAGCTTCTCCTTCTCGAACTTTTACTCTAACATTGCTTTTTGTTTTAAGCCCCAATTCCATCTCACACATTTATAAGAATACTAACAAAACAAAACAAGAAAACCCCAGAAGCCTTTGCTTCAGTCCTCAGTACAGAAACAGACATGCCCACCTGAAAGGCACCTGGTAATTATTAGTAAGCTTCTTTCTGCCTTATAAAACTTCCTTTTTCTATAATGCTTTTAGAGTTGATTAGATATTTTTCTCTCAATTTGACCTGCTACTTTCTCACTTTCTCCTTTTCTATTATTTCAAAAATGATTTGACTTCTGCTATAGTCTTTGGGTATGCAGGTATTATTATTAGTTCTATGGTGCCGTTTTTTCCCCCACAGTCCTAATGAATGAACTTAAGCCTTTGAGTGCTCTGAGTTATAGTTCGGTCTACTCATTATTTAAGTAGAATGAAATAATTATTCAAGAAGAGAAGTTTAGATTCTTAAAAATCATATTTCAGAACTTATATATATACATACATATATATATTGTTTCTTCATTTGTCTTTACAGGTTCGAATGCAAGCACTGAAATGCTTCTCAGTTTTAGCTTTTGAAAATCCCCAGGTATCGATGACCCTGGTAAATGGTAGGCTGGAACTTTTGGTGACACCTATATGATTTAATTTCTGAACTTCTCAGATTTAGAGGACTTTCTTACTCTTTGTCTTTTGTTTTGTTTCCAGTTTTGGTTGATGGGGAATTGTTACCACAGATATTCGTGAAGATGTTACAGAGGGATAAGCCTATTGAGATGCAACTCACGTCAGCAAAATGGTAAAAGTCAAAACAGCATGAGAGGAAAATCTGCTAACACTGGAATATCAGTGTACTAGCATAATCTGCTCACTTCATATCACCACCTTGTTTTGAAACTTGAAATTCACTGAACTGTCTTATATGTTTCTAAACTGGACTTTTTTTTTTTTTTAAATACCTGGTATGAGTAGCAAGACTGAACTCTGAAATTGTTTACAGAAAATTATTAAATCCTCATATGTTCTCCTTGTCTTTAGTGTGAAAGAACAGAATTAGGTCAGGTAGATACTCAGCTAGGAAGACAGATAAAAGGACATCAGTGTTGGTGAATACTATGTTGAACATGAGTGTGCAGAGCTCTGTGCTAAGTGTTTAATTCTAATAGAAAACAGACTTTTGTACTGTTTCTTTGCTTGGTTTTGATCTTAAATTCAAACTACGTATTTGTCTTTTGTTAATAATTTAACAATATGTTAAAATAATTTTGTTAAATAAATTAACAATATTTAAATAGGTTTTTTGTTTTTTTTTTTTGTTTGTTTGTTTGTTTGTTTGTTTTTCAAGACAGGGTTTCTCTGTGGCTTTGGAGCCTGTCCTGGAACTAGCTCTGTAGACCAGGCTGGTCTCGAACTTACAGAGATCCGCCTGCCTCTGCCTCCCGAGTGCTGGGATTAAAGGCGTGCGCCACCACCGCCCGTTTTTTAAAAATGAAAAACATAATAAACCTGACAGTATGACATTACCACAAAAATTCCAGCCCTTTAGAATTTAAATAAAATAATTCTGCTGATTTGATGTGTTTTTGCCCCTGTCCCAGCTTCCTGAGGGACTCAAACTCAGAAGAGTTCACTATTTTTTTTTTAATTTTTAAAATCACATCTATTTATTTATTGTGTGTGTACATGCATATATGTGTACCACTGAGTACATGTGGAGGTCAGAGGACAACTTGTGAGAGCTGGCTCTCCTCATGTGACCCTGTGGGTCCCCAGTTGGTTCTTATGTGGTCATGTGGGTTCCCAGGATGGAACTCGGAGTATCAGGCTTGCCTGCAAGTGCCTTTCCCTACTGAGCCATATCATTGGTCCATTTTGTTGGATTTGTTTTTGAGTTTTTCTTTTATTATATTTATTTTCATTCAAGGCTAGATACAATTATTGAGTAAATTATTTCTCTCTAGACTTGAATCACTGACCAATGCACAGAGCTGCTGTTGGGACCTCCAGATTCTCATTTCTGATTGAGAGCTGCCCTGTTGTCTGTGATATTCCACTGCTGGTGGACTTAGACTATTCCTGCATAAGACCCTTAACCTTTTAACAGTGTGTTTTAACATCTCTTTTTGGTTAGAGAAATTTTTAAGCATTAGAAGTATAGAAGAAAAGCGAGAGAAGTATAGAGATAAAAGAACCTACTTTATGTACAACACCAGCTTCAAACATGCCGCTACTCAGCCTACTCATGGGGGCATTTATTTTGAAGTCTTGTTTGTTTTTGTTTTAGAGCTAGCCTACTGTTTATATAATTATGTTAGTTTATTTTAGAGCTAACTGAATTTCAGATAAGGAATGTCAGAATCTTGTCACTTAAGTAATAGTGTATGGGTTTGTTTTTGTTTGTTTGTTTTATAAACTCTTAAAGGCAAATAGTATTTCTTTAACATTTTAAACCTCAAAAATAATTTGTGTCATTTTATTTCAGTTTAACTTATATGTGCAGAGCTGGAGCAATTCGGACAGATGACAGCTGTATTGTATTAAAAGTAAGCCAATTACTTCTCTAAGAATGTTGAGTGTGAATGTTGCTATTCTTGTTTCTTTTTGCACACTTGGCATTATGGTATGAGTGGACTGCATAAAATAACATCAGACATGATGCTTTTCTGTGGGATGCCTTTTAGTCTAAAATTGGGTTTAGATGTACATGAATACCACAATAAAATAATTCTTTTATTGTTACAACCGTTCTTTTATAAGAGTATAAAATTGTAAAAATATGTAAAATTCCAATGAAATAGTACTGTTTGCCAATTACACAGATAAAGACATACCTCACCCTCACAGCCAGAAATCAAAATGCATAATAAGAGAGTAAATAACAGAAAGCAGCTACCATCTGTGTTCCATGTCAGTACACCAAGAGCTTCTGACTAGCTTGGAATTCCTGCATGTGAAACTGGAGGCAATAATTCTCACTTAGCTATTTCACAGAAGTGTTGTGAGCCTAGCCATGTATTAAACACATTCCAGCGTCTTACTTGCTTTAAAGAACAAAACAAATGTATTGCTATTGTTGAAAAGATGACTCCAAAACTAAATGATCATTAAGAACATTTAAGTTTAAGCCAGACAGTGATAGCGCATGCCTTTAATCCAGCACTTAGGAGGCAGAGACAGACAGATCTCTGTGAGTTCAAGACCAGCCTGGTTTACAGAGCAAGTTTCAGAGCAGCAAGGACTACACAGGGAAAACCCTGTCTGAAAGAAAAGAAAAGAAAAGAAAAGAAAAGAAAAGAAAAAGAATGAGTCAGGTGGGTTACAAGCTTGAGGCCAGTCTGAATTACATAGTGAAATCCTGTCTGAACAAACAAAGCACCAAGAAATAATGCATAAATGGATAAATTAGTGACTAGGTTGCATTAATATTTGGCAAAAGACTTAAGAACCCCCTGAGTAAATAAGACTACTAAAGGCTTTCTTAGAAATGACTGGCTTATTTATTTCTTTAACCTTTACATTCTTTATCATTGTATTATTTTCAGATGCTTCAGGTGGGAGCATTGATAACCCATGAATTTATAGCATTGATAAATATTAGTAATTAGGAATGTTAGGAAAAGAATAAAATAGGAAAGAATAGGAAAATCTTCCCCTCAGAAGCCTGGAGTTGAGTTGTAAAGCCTGAACTAGCCTAATAAGAAACAGTAGGAATTAACAATGTTCTGATTCTGTGGTGAAACTTAGAACAGGATGATGAAGCTCTCTTTGAAGCATTTAAGCCCCTGTCAGTAACCTCAATAAAATTCATTGGTTTACCAGGTTTTGGGGGGAAATGAACAGGAATCTAGAAAACAGTGAAGCACAGTTGACTGTGGTAGTCAAAGTGACTTCCTCTAAGTATCCACACTTCAGTGTCTACTTTGCATCAGCCTTAGAGATGATAGACACACAGGGTAGTTTGAGAGCCTAATATAGAGATGTTATAAGACCAGTGTCAAGGTGGTTGAAGCACCTCAGAAGTAAAATTGAACGAGTGTATATCACACTCATTCCAGCATGGTATTGAGAAAACTTAACAGTGGTTATTGATATGGTCCACTAAGTTTTAGAGCTGGTGGACTCTGAGAGGGGTAAAAAATTTTTAAGCTATATTTAGCTTTTGTAACTATAGATAGATATTAATTCCTAAAAATAAGTGAGTAAATAAATGTGATCCCAACCATATTACTAAGGAAATTTTGCTGATTAAACTGCCAGCTCTCTTTTAGGGTGAGCACATAGGCAGGATAGATAGAATGTTGACGTGGTTTGATCTGTCAAGAGTTCTCAAATATCTTTTCTAAGGTTCTCCAATAAAATTTCAAAGCAAGTTAGAGTTTCTGTTAACATAATTAAGAGTTTATCATGCTAGAACAAATAATCTTCTGGATTTTGCTTGTTTTTGCATTCAAACTTTTTTACTTCTAAAAACCGGTTAGCTGAGGAAATGTATCATAGAAACATGACTTCCAACCAATGCCATTGGATTAGGTTTAGTTATCAAATGTTCTTTATCAAGCTTTTGCCTTTACCAAAAAACAAATAATTGATCTCCCTGCTTTCAGACTTTGCCTTGTCTGGTTCGAATGTGCAGTAAGGAAAGATTACTAGAGGAGAGAGTTGAAGGAGCTGAGACACTCGCCTATCTGATTGAGCCAGACGTTGAGCTGCAGAGAATCGCTAGCATAACCGATCACCTCATTGCCATGCTTGCTGACTATTTCAAGTATCCCAGCTCAGTGAGTGCCATCACTGACATTAAACGGGTATGTTCTTCTGGGTGTTTAAAGTGTTCTTACTGTGCACAGCTGTGAAACAATTGATATTCCATCTGAGAGCCCATTTAAGTAAAGGGATCTTTATCTTTATTAACATAGATAATAGTTTGTGAGGTTTTAAAATCTAGCTTGTTTAATGTTTATTATCAGGACTTTTTTTTTTTTTTTTTTTTTTTTTTTTTTTTTTTTTTTTTTTTTTTTTTTTGCTAAACACCAAAGCAAGAAGAAAATTACATTCTTGGCTCCCTTAACGAAATCTCCAAAATAGTAGGGTCCCTACATTGAGTGTTGACACATTTTATCTGTATCTAATTCAGTTCAGGGTCACAGAATTGTCTCTGGTGCTACTTTCTTTCTTCTTCTTCTTCTTTTTTTTTTTTTTTTGTGTAAGGCTTCCAGATTTATTGGATCCTGGTATTTTAGCTCACTTATTGTTCTGAAAGTTATTTTTGAATGAAAAAAATCCAAAGTAAACTAATAGTTTTCTGTATGTGACAGAATTGGAAGCATTATAGTTTTTTAACATAAAATTATGCAGTTTTAGTTTACTATATTGTTAAATGTTTTCTGCCAGACCAACGGCACGTTTAAGTGACTTTATTTCTATTCACTGTTAAACGATGCATTTGATTTTACATTATGACTTAGTAAACAACAGAATTTGTCAATAGTATTGTGCAGTGTTATATTATGTTTGTTCTAACTGTTCCCAGGAGATTGTTCTGGCCTATAATCTAAATTTTTATTCTATTCATTTTTTTAGCTAAAATGGTACATATTAAAATTGCATGCACCGTATGCTGCAGAGTAATATTTTCCTCTCGTTTCTAGAACTAAATCATGTAAACACTGTATTTTCCTGAACTTATGAATATTCAAATAGTTATACAGACTCTTCCTGAACATTTTTCAGCTATTACGTAAATGTTATATGTTTATTATAAAAAGAAAGCAAAAACGTATGGTTATATCCAAAGCTTTCTGATAAGTTATAAGGAATGGAGAATCAGGCATTGCTAGTATAAGCCTTTAGTCTGAGCACTTGCCAGACAGAAGCAGGCAGATCTCTATTAGTTCGAGGTGAGTCTGTTCTCCAGACTGAGTTCCAGCACAGTCAAGGCAACACAGAGAAATCCTGTCTTGGAAAACCAGAAAAAAAGAGGAGAAGATAATTAAGTAAGACAATGAATGAACATTTTTTTCAAATAAATTCATGACTTTATGGACTGAGCTACAAAATGTTAGATTACTATAAAGTATTAC